CGCAGCAAAATTGTAACTTCAAAGTGATATCGCATATAAAGATAGGGAATACTTTTAAACAGCATAGTGACCAGCTAAAGACTGGTTTGGAAGCATCCTCGGTATGACCGTAAAAGGTGCAAGTTGTCTGAATGAAATTTGACGCAGGTATTGCTCTCAATAGGAAATAAACGCACTTTGCGGTAATTTTGAGCGCACCCCCACCCTCGCCCCTCTCCCGCTATTCCTTACGTCTAACTTCCAAAATTCATGTCCAAGAGGCAGGAAAAAAGAAAAACACAAAAATATTGACGTAGAGGAAAACCAACGAAATACGAACCGGAATGACTTTGCTGTGTGAAATCCACAATAAATACCTCCTCATCGTTCAAACTGTCGATAATACCTGAAAGTATCGCAAAGAAGAATACGCCTGGGCTTAAGCATATTATTTTCAGATTATAAATGCTTAAATGAGAATCATAACGGGTCAGGATAAAGTTTCATTTTCACTGCACATTCTCCGAACAAACGGAAAGTCAAATATATTGCGAAAAAAAAGCGAAGGCAATCCTGAATACATCAGCTCATTTTTCCGACATTTTTCCAGATCTCGCTTTTCCCGCGATTTACAAAAGTTGGTTTTTAACCACCAAGAATACCGAGATTTATCGGATGAACGATGTGGATATCGTATGTTAGCGACACCATTAGAATGTTCCTGCATGCCAGACCCCGTTGTACAAGGCTTTTTGATACTAAGCTGCGTTTTTCTAGATGGCAACCACCACCTGTTCGATGTATGTGTGCATTGTCTCTTCGCTAGCCATCCAAGTTTACTTGCTCGCAAATACCACTCAGTAATGATAAGTGACGACCATCAGCTGTCAACAAAACGAGCAGAATGCCCCTGCCAACGAATTTTACTTTGCTGCGTAGCACTAAGGAAATATGTGTTCGAAAGGATTAGGTCAGTTTGCAGGCCAGCTTATATAACTTCTTTTTTCCAGATCTAAGTTTCACTGCATTTGAACGCTTCATCTGAACAGAAAATTTAGCGCTTAATCTAGCATATACACGACAAATATAAATATCCCCTGCACTGCTACCATGGCCTAATCTATTCCTCATAGCTAAATGATTTCCTTTTGTAAATATGATTTGCAAATTTTAA